CGGCGGCGGCGGCAGCGGCTCCAGCACTTCCGGTTTCTTGCGCGCCGCCCTCCGACCAGGCGAAGCGCAACGGGGCCAAGAAGGACTTCGTTCTCTGCCAGTCGGGGTCCTTTACGACAGGGCCGTCTAGTGGCCGGAGGAGCGAACGAGGCGAGGGAAGGAGACTGGTCGAGAGTGGGGGACAGATGAAATACACAAAGGGGCAGTGACTTGCTGCAAATCGCAGGACGAATTGTGGCGCGTCTCTACTCACCTGTTTTTTTCGTTCAACAAATATATATTGAGGGCCTCCTATGTGCCAGGCGGAGTATTAGAAGCCGAGATTAGAGCAAGGAGCAAGCCAGGCAAAAGTCCCTGTCCCTTCATGGAGAGGTCATGGAGAAGGAAGTAACCACCGCCTTGGGGATCTTCTGGGTATCTCATTTTTATGGTGAGGAAACCTGAACTGGGAGTGAGAAAACCTGGCTTTAGTACTAATTAATGACCTTCAGCAGGTCAATCTCCTTGAGCCATGGTTTCTTTATCTGTGAAAAAGATAAAATAACGTCACTAAATAGCAATTAAGGAAAACCATGTGTATCACACAAACACATAAAGATGAAGAAAGTGGGGCCCAGGACGGGGAATTGAGTGACTGGCTATCATCAGAACCGGAGGCAGATCCCCTGACCCACAATTTATTTTCTGTTCTGCACCATACATTGGCTGAGAGAAAGAGAAAAATGAAGCCTAGTGAGATGACTGGGAAAGAGCCACGTGTAGAACTAAACAGTGGACAAGCTGGGTCTTCCCTATTCTTTGTTTTACAAGGAACCATGTGTCAGAGGTGTGTGTCATTAGGGTTTATTATGACAGCACGAATGAGATAATTTGGGTACCAAGTTTCACTCATCAGTATGTAATTATAGACTCTGAGGTTAAATGAGTTGCTCAGGCTTTTTTTTAAGTTGAATTCCTCTGATAGAAAGGTACAGTCACGTTTTACTGCGACTCCTCTATGAATTTCCTGCAAAAAACAAAGCACCCAAAAGTAGGTTTTAAGGCTATGAATGCACATGCTCATGCTAACAAAATGCAATGAAACATCTTGTACTTCATTTCATTCATCCAAATGTTTCCTGAATCTCTGCCATGTGCCTGTCACTGTTCCAAGTACTAGGGCTAATAACAGTGAACGAAGTCGGCAAAATCCCTGTCTTTCTATTTACATTCTAATAAGAGGAAACAGACCTCCCTGAAAGCAAACAAACAGAAAATACATAATTTTATGGATTTAAAAAATGAGCCCCAGCGAGGTAAAGGATTTAAAGTCACATCCTAATTATGAATTGAACTAGCATTGAATTCAGATTTCTTGGTTTTCATATCTTATTTTCTCTTTTTATGCAGAGTTTAAAAGCCTCTAACCCTGAGAAAGCTGTAGAGGAACATCTCACACAGCCACGCACCCTGGCAACTCTGCACGTATCCACAGAGGCCTCCCAGGCAAAGGCTTGAACTGAAACTTATCTGAGACTTAGCAGAAGGCTTTGTGATCTTTCCACAACTGGAAAGAACCACAGACTTATGAGGGAAGACCTTGAGGCAATCTCTCCTGGGAGGTTGTCCGGAGGCAGGTTCTGATGAGGTGTACACTTTCTGCCCCACCCCCATCACAAAAGAGTTGAGAATATAAAAACCTCTTAGTTACAGTCTTAAATTGTCTCCTCAGTATCCAGATTTCCCAAAACTTACAGTGCATCCATCTGGCTCCTTTTACTTCATTAGTGTCCTTTTTCTCATGTGGGACAAGGACCACCGGCAGCTGGTACCTTGATGCATTCTTCCCTTTGTTATATATGTAAGTAATACACTGAGGAATGCAGTGGCTCGTTTTATCTTTACTGGCTGGATCCATCAGGACTGGGCCTTGCCAAACTTGTTTGTGTGCTTGACAAAGCCTAGCTTTATGCTGCCCTACACTCTAGGAACTCCTCAGGAGAAGGCACATGAGGTCTGAATAAATAGAGAGGGATTGATACAAATCTGTCCCTGCCATAAACTGAAACAAATCACAAAGCATCATGAAACAATAATATTCTAACATAATGGACAGCAGGCAGATAAGTGTGAATGAAAATGAGGGTGGTAAGGCCAAGTGAGGACCATTCCTGGGGAACCGTGGGCTGCATCCTGCAATCAGTGCCTATTTGAAGGAATCAGGTCCCCATCCAGTTCTGGCCTCATGTTTTAGAGACAGCTTTCCACACTGGACCTCATCAGAGACCAACCTGTCTCACAGTTCTGCATCTAACAGTCCCATGATCTTCAGGCAGTGGTACTTTTGCTCAGGTACTCATGGGTCAGAGCATGGACTCCTGGAGTCAGGAAGGCCTGGGTTCACATCCTGGCTCCTCTCCTTCCTAACAGTGCAATATAGGGCTTTTCTAAGTTTGATTTCTCTCATCTGATTTCTCCCCCCTTCTCTATTTGGAAAAATTTTATTTAGTCTGTATATTATTCCAAATATTTTCTGTCTTGAATGTGCAGCTGGGCTTAAAAGAGAACAGTCTAACGTTTCTGTTTTCTAATCCCAAAGTTATAACTCCCAGGAAATAACGATTGCCTCACGCTAGTTCCCTATATTGGGAAGGATCAAGGGTCACAAAGGAAGAAAACAAAAACATAAGTTGCTTCCCACTTCCCCGTATCTTACCACTAGATAAAGTTGTAAAAGAAATTTTTGTATTTTTTATCAAAAGTATTTCCAGTATTGCTAGTTTCTTATTCACCATTTTGCCCAGCTGTAGAGTTTTCCCACTGAGTTGTCGTACCACGATTCATTTGGCCATTCTGCTTGAGTAATTTCCAGTGTTTCACCCTGTTAACGCCATGAACATCCTCATACATAAATCTTCCTCCTTAAAATTATTTTCTTAGAATAAAATCCTAAAAGGGGAATTGCCAGGCCAATCAGCACAAACATCTCCATATTTCTTGTGACATATTGCAAAACTGCTTTCCAAAATGATTCCACGAATTCATACTGTCCTTAGCTACATTCAGCATGAGTATGCCAATTTCACTAAAACATTTCTAGCATTGGGCTTTCTCATCAACAAACATATTTTAAGCATGTACTTTCTGAAACATTCTACTAGATGCTAGAGTACAGAGAGGAGGCAATATGTGTTCTAGGGGAGATATATAATCTAATTGAAGAAAACAGATCATAAGCATGATGTATACACTGATGGTAGTTGATTACAGGATACAACGGGCTAGACTTTGTTTTTCCATTTCCCCCATATTTTGTAACTTTTGGGGTCATGGTACAAACCAAGGTGCTGGAACAACAGAAAAAGGGACTTTCCAGCGAATTTTCTTTTTCATTTTCAAGTTTTTGAATACTGTCGTGAGATGCAAATTTTTTAAGTATAAAAGGGTACATAGTAAAAAATATTCTCCTCTGCTGGTCTGCCAGTCACATGGTTGTCCTTCCCTGCAAGAAACTGATGTTATTGGTTTCTTGCATATACTTTCCAGTAATATTTTATGATCCATAAATAAATGCCAACATATAGATGTACTATTCCTCCTACTCTTCTACTATTTTTACACAAATGGTAGCAGACCACCGATCTGCTCTCACAACCACATAGGCAGCCCAGAGAGCCAGGAATTTTCAGGTAGATCAAACTGAGTAGGGTGGAAAGACCACTCCCCATGCCCAAAGAAAGGGCCTTGTCTGCACATTCTTCTGTACTGTGGATTGTCAGGCTGAGGGGAAGGGTTTTCCAGCAATGACTGGCTGCAGTGCCCACCACCCTCCTGGCATGGTTAGGAGGTTGCAGGGATATGAGCTGGATGCACAGATTCCCAGGAGATGCCTGGGCTGATCCAGTCAGTCTCTCTCTCCACTCTCAGCTTCGTGCTGTTTAGATAGAGAAGCCTGATTTTGATTCAGGATATCCAGCGGGGTGTGGGTGAGGCACAAACCATCAAATTCTACAGCTCATTTTCCAAACCTTCTTCTGGGAATAGAAGATTCTGTGAAAAGGGGAACAA